GAGCTGAAAGGAGACTATGTTGAGAAATAGAAATGAATTAAATACTCATTGTAGATGTAAAAAGACATTAATTTTCTTTATTTAACTAATGTAGTTTTCAATATAAAAAATATTGAATAAGTTAATCCTTAATTTTAGAATCGCAAAAATATTCGAACACTCAATATATTTTATATTTATTGACCTTCGGAAATCGAGTTAGTTTATTTCTTACTTGTTTACCGTGAAGTAAGTCATACAAAATATGTCACTTATTTCATGTGAATTGAGTTAATCTAATTTCCCCAAGATCACATACAACTTAGTGAAAATGGGACATAAAGGCAAAAATAATTCATTTGATAATCGCCTTGTTATTTTTCTTTATAAAAAGGGCAAATCATATCGAGAAATCAGTAAATTAATAAATTTAAGTAATAGTATTACGGTAGCAAATATTATAAAAAGATCGCATTGAATCAATACCTCAGAAAGAACGTTCAAAATTATTTGATTTACGGAATAAACGTAAAATTATTAGGAAAATAAAAGTAAATCCTAAATTAAATACTACAAAATTGACCTTAGAATTATGCGAAGAGACTAGCTAGAAGGTACATTCTGATAGTCGAGCATTAAAAGAAAGTGATTATAACGGTAGAGTTGCTTGTAAGAAGTTCATAAATGAAATAAATCGGAAGAAAAGATTAATTTTCGCCAAGGAATTTATATCTAAAGATCAAATATGATAGAATGATGTAATATTCGCTAATGAGAGCAAATTTAACATTTTTCTGATGGACGAAAAATGATATGGCGAAAAGCAAACAAAGAATTCAAACTGAAAAATTTGAAGCCAACTATGACACACGGCAGTGAAATTTAATGGTTTGAGCTTGTATTTCAAATAAAGGGGTGGGTGAATTAGATTTCCATTGACGGAATTTTGGATAAAAATAAATATTTAAGTATTCTGAAAGACAATTCAATAAAAAGTGTTAATAATATAATGAATATACAAGGTAGTTTCAAATTTTATCAAGACAATGTTCCAAAACATAATTCGCAAATACTTCGAAAAGTAAGAGTTTTTAAAATAAAATGTGTTATTTTTCAAAACTCGTTTATTATATAAATTATAACTTTTTTTTATTAAGGATTTATTCTCATGTAACCACACTAAAAATAAGGCTTTTTTAATTAATTTTTCTTAAAGAAAACTATAAGACATACGGTTCTACTTTTCACATATTTATTAATACACATGTCAATATATGAAAAAAATTTTTACAGCATTATTTTCATTCTAAAATTCCAAGAAATTAGTTGAGAAGCGCAAAAAATAAGGTGACCAAATGGTTGACACTACATCTCGAGAACCAATTGTCAGAAACAAAAAAACAAAATTTTTTCTTAAAGTTTATTTGCATGGCTATCGCGTAAACTAGAAGTATTGAAAATTTGCGAGTTGACACGTGTTTTTAGAAAGTGATGTGAAAAAATTTTTTTTTCGCTCAAAAAGTTGAATAAAAAATTTAATTTTTAGTGAAACCGGTTTATTCTAGTTTACGCGGCAGTTAATCTACGAATACAACGTCGTAAGAAATTTTTAAATTGGTTGATTAGCTTTTCCGAAATTGTATCAACCGTCCAAAAAAACAACGTTTTAAGAAAAATACGTTTAAAGTTTATTTTAAGTTGATTTTTTAAAAATCAAATAATAATTAAACTATTTAACCGTTAATTAGCGATTCCTGATCCATAAAGTAATTACCTCAAACATTTGGCAAAAGAACTTTTGGTTGTAGGAAAAGCACTTTTGATCGTTAATTTTTCGAATTTTTTTCTAAAATTTTGAAGACAAAAAATAAATAGACTTTTGGCTGTACAATCCTTAATTCTTTGAATTTCTTTTTGAAATTTTGATAGTGTGTTCTTAAAATGTTGTACAATCGAAATATACAAAAATATCGATTTTTTGAAAATTTTACATTAGAATGTACCTTTAAGGATACGCACATTTGCTTACTACCGTTATATTCCTGTCTGGTGTTTCGATTGAAAAAAAATTTATTAAAATATGTTCATTTTTATGTATGTTCTAATATATTCTAACTCATTCTGAGCAATCAAAATTGACTTAAGTATGCCATTCTAGGTGTGGTGTTTACTTTACAAAACGGATCCAATTTTTTAAGGATTAAACACAATTCACTAATACATCCAACAACTTCATCTTTATTGTTTTTCTCTTGCCATAAAAAATAACTAATAAATTAATTTTCTCTAAAATTCTGTTAATTCGAGTTAATAATGCTAGTTGAGAATTTGAGTATGGGCAGTCGTCTTTTGATTTGCTGTTCGATCTGAGACGCGCCTTTGACTGCTCGTATCTTCTTTATCCAAAGAAATACTCTCCAATCTTTATCTTCCTCTACGCCAGTTTTGTGACCCTATTCGCACGTGTCACGCCGTTCTGATTGCTATTTCCTATTCTTACCGATACGGACGTAACAATATTATAAAAATTTGGAATGTTATGTCCATCTTGAGACACATGTGTGCAAAGATTAATAGTCTTTTATTATTATTATATATATAAACAGTGGTAAAATATATGATAGGACAAATAACAACACATAATGTCACGACAAAATTCTAACTGTGTAAAAGAAATATTCGAGATTCATCGTTTGGTTTTTTTGCTGTAAAACAGGTAATGATTCTTTTTCTTTATATTCTGACTAGAAGATTTTAATATATATAATTTCATTTAGAATCAGGAAATTCTTGTTCTACACTTTTCTTGATATGACAATTGACCGTGTAACATTACTGCATGAAGCATCTTCACATACAAAAGAACATGTTTATTTAATTACAACTCTCGACTGTTGAATTTAATGTCAACTAGATGTAACTCTGCGTTTTAAGAATATTATTGAATTACTGAAGATGACCAGATTGTGGCCGAAACGTTTAATGTTTTAATGAATGTAATAATAATTAAATATCACAAACTATAACTTGTGCTGTGGTTTTTTATGCTCTTACTTTTTATATATCTTTTATTATTATTACTATTATTATTATTATTATCATATTATTATTTATTTATAGCATTATTTATTTATAGCAAGTTGTATTTGAATTTAATTGGGAACTGAAGACAATGTAAATTCTACGACATAATTTCTTGATATTACACAAATATTACTGATTAACATATTTTATTAGATATGCAAGAGCAATTAACAAAAATTGAATTAGTCTGAAGTAGAGTTAATAGAGTAATATTGTATAACTGATCTCAAGAAACTAATATGGAAAAAGCCCTTTTAAATTATACCTTATCTAATATATTATTTATATTATCTGAAAATATTTCATAAACAAAACGAAAATTATTTAATATAGGAAAAACGTCCTCGATTACTTTCTACAAAGCGCAAAAGGATCCTGGAACAAAAGGATCCCGAAACAAGATGAAATAGTATTTTTTTTCTAAATTCTTCTTGAATTTTCTATGATGTGTATATGAAAAAGCATTTTTGCTGTTGAAAACATTTTATTGAAGAAAAACGGAAAAGACATGATGTTCACATGTAACAAACAATTAAGAAAAATTTAATATATTTCTTTAAAAGTACAATATATAAAAATACAATAGACGAAAAAGACAAAGAACCGATTTTTAAAAGAACTTTCTTCAATTGCTCTTTCATGAATCTTCATGTTAATCAGCAATTAAAAGTACTGATGCGGTTTGTAATTTTCTTCTATTGTCTCAAAGTATTTTGATGTATGCTAGATAATTAAACAATTTTGTATTTGAAAATTAAGATAATCTTATTTAAAAATATAAATATTTCCAAAAATAATAAAATTGAAAAACGAACCGATTTTTTATACAAAAAGTATTGTATATTTTGAATTTTAAAATATTATTCGTTATTCATTATAGTAAACTTTTTTAAATTCATCTTTCTATTTCCATCTTTTAGCAATTTCCAACTTCAAGTAATAAAATAAGATTGTACATCTAACTATTATTAGATAAATATACGAAAATGCAGAAATTATTGAAAAGAAAAGAAACTGAGATACTTTTACAACGTAAGAAATTTGTATAATTGTGATCATTCAACAAAAAGACAAACTGGAAAAGTATTAAAAAATGTATTACATACTCTTAAAAGTGAAAAAAATATGAAAAAATTGTAGATTATTTTAAACATCGCATTTAAATGTAATAAATACAAAAATAATGCCTGTCTAGAAGATGCTTATGATATATTTATGATATTAGAAAGACTTTTTTTTTTAATATGTGTATTATTTTGATTGTTAATTTGTACTAATAAATTTTGAACTAAATAATTATAAATAACTATAATTTTGTTTTTATTATGCAGTACTAGTAACAAATATTATTTTATTATTATTATATATAATGAATATATTCTTTTTATTTACAATTATTATTTTTTTACAATATTTTAAAAAACACTTTATTAAAAGTTCTCTAATCAGAGCTTTTATATAACGCGCGTACTGTAATACGCAGCACTGACTGTTTCGATTCAAAACATTTTAAGCTACATCGAGCTTCAGAAATTTGAGTTCGAAAAGCTCCGTAAAACATAAGAAAATGTACATTCAAATTTCTTCGTTTCCTTTTTTTCTATGAAATAAGCTTCTAGTCTTAAGATTATTAAATTTTTTATATTATAAATTGTTTACATTAAATTTAACATCACTTTATAATGTTGTATTTTATTTTGTAATATTAAATCACGATTTATATATCATCATTTATATATATATATATATATATATATGTGTGTGTATACCATGTTTGTTAAACAAATGTAAACTAATTCCATTTCAATGAACTAATGAACAATGAATTAATTTAGTTTCCATAAACAAACTGTTCCTGTTATGTAATTTTATATACCACTATTATTAAAGTGCAACTGAGACACAGCTCGAAATAGAACGAACGTCGAACAGCCAAAAATACTTTACGTTTCTACTTAGTCGTCGGATGTCCGAGTGGTTAACGTTTGGAAACGTTCGCGTTTCGATGAAATTAGTTTATTTCAATTGAAAAATATCAAATATATATACGTATCTTTTTTAAGGTAAATCATCCTTAGCATATTGCAAATTGTTCATAATTAACACGATAATTTTGTTAAGGAATTGTAAAAAGAATTAATTATTAGAAATATCTTTAACATATTTCATTATAGTTCTAATGATTTGTGATATATGTGTGACATACATGTTGAAAGTTCATTTACGCAAAAATATTAAAAAGAATATTTATATTAGAAAGAATTTAAGACGTGATATTCTATATTCGTTGGAATCGAAAAACATAATGTGAACAAAAGAAAAGTATCAATATTCTGTTTTTTTTTTTCAAAAGGTCAATGGTCTTAGTTATGTTCCGTTCTCTTCGTTATTTGATCATTATTGATTAAAGTTACAATTTTCGTCATTCTTGTAGAGAAAGAGAAAATAAGAGATGTCTAAAACAGAGAATTCAGATCTCACAGCCGAAAAAGATGCACCTCCTATGGAAATGATAAGGACCGATTGTGCTGACAATACAGCCATAATTATCGCAGTGAAAAGTACCAATGTAATGTGGGAAGATCCTCTTGCACCTGTGGAAGTTGCAAAAGAAGTATTAAATGCGCAGTTTGAAAACAAGTATTTAATAGAAGCGAAAATTGACACAAATGTACTTGGAGAAAAAGAAATCGATAATCCAGATATATATATTAAAGAGACTACTGATATAATCACTCATGTACCTGCTCATGTATCTGTGAAGGATGTGAATGTAACACAAGTCAAAGCGCAAAACTATGCTGAAAGTGAAGAAGTGTTACAGCCGAAATTTATCAACGAAGAAAAGGTGAAAACGAGAGATAATAAGAGAGATAATAAATAACTGATTTTTTTGTTATTTTTGCAATTATTATTTATCAATTCTTATGTGGTACCTAGGTCGATACATCAAAGCAGAATGCAAGAGATAACATTGCGGCATACATATCCAGATTGGAAGCAGAAGTGCGGGTGAGAAAATTCTGTGGAAATGCGGATTGTTCTGATAGAATCAAATCATTTCGACTCGAAGTTATATTTCTATGTTTTCAGTAAAAAATCAATTTTTAAAAAATTGATTTCGCTTCTTTGCTTATCTCTTTTCACATGTTTACTGTTAAAACATACATGCATATCAATGATCTTCCATTTATAATTATTATATTTCATGTGTGTATGTTATTGATTTAAAAAAATCCTTTACACGGAAAGAATAACTTTGCTCAAGTATCTGAAAATTTAGCTAGATACAGATCTGAAAATATATAATTACGTTAGATCAAAATAACTAAAATGCTCAATGATGATAACACTGCTAAAGAGTTTTAAGAGTTCTTAGCAACCAAATAATTATAATGGATACTTGAGCGTCTATTACTTAATAGTACAACAAAATTATTTTGTATGTAACTAAATTTTTGTATATTTCAGCAGAACCGTTTTTTTTTCGTGTACAATTTTCTGTAAAAAATTAAAAGTTGATTTTGTAGAGTCTTGCCATCTCTCATATATATCTTATATTGATGGATGATCTAAAATCCTTATGATCGATAGAAAAGAACAAAAGAGCGCGACAGTTACCAGAAGAAGTTTGAAGATGCGAAGACAAAGTTGGCCGCCTTGCAAGCGTATTATACTGCGATAATGAATCGTAGCAATGACAAGGATACCCTACAATACAGCCGGCATTGATGTACGAAGAACGTAATCGCGTGATAGCGAATCAGGAAAATCAAATCAACGCGCTGAACAATCAAGTGGCCTCATTAAAGGAAGTAATATCGGTCACGCGGGATCTATTGGAAATCCGCAACATAGAGGTGAAACAGTTGCAAGTGAGTCGACGATCTTATTTTCTTTTCGTATTTACGAGTTACAAGATACCTCACAAACAAGATTTTTAAAGAAATTTTGCATTCATCATTTCTTTTTTTAAGCTCTCTTCTAGCTTTTTAAGAATAAATAATTTGTGAAGAAACTTTGGAATTGATTTGAAGTTTATTTGAAAAATAAAATTTTACTAGAAGAAAAGAGTGCATCATTTCTACATTTATTTCTTTGATTTTTTTCCTCAAGCTCTCTGATTTTTTTTAAAATAAGAAGGAATTCTTTGCGAAGCAACTTCAGAATTAATTTCGAAATTTAGAATTTTATATTCCTACAAATTGAATTCTGAATTAATTTCTTCCAATTCATTTGTTTTGTTCAGAAAACGCTTTTAAAATGCTTTTTACTAACGTTAAATCATCATTAATACTCATATAGCACGTAATATCATAATAATACCACAGCAATATCATTTTCCATTGCAATATTATAATGAGCAGAAATACCGCTGAAGTATTATCGAGATGTTATAGTAATATTACAATGTTTGCGAAAATGAATTACAGGAATATTACTCAGATATATCAGAGAAATATCAGTATAATATTTTGAAATATTTTTGTGACATTTATATAATATTTATATTTATCAAGAAAATAGAAGGACAAATTAGAATCAAATTCAAATATAGATATATATAATAATCATTTAAAGTTTTAATTAACATTCTAATAAATCGATATGAAATATAAATTTGATATGAATACTTTATATACATTGCATTATGTCGTATTACATAATATGTTTTGGCATTGTAATTGTGTAATTGTGTAATAAAAATATTATTAGCAGATGTCTAACCTCTCTAAAAACGCCAAAATCAGCTGTCGCTATGAACTATTCATAACAGCCGGAGCCATCTTTTGGAAAACGGAATGAACTAATTTCCCCAATTTGATCGAATTACGTGGAATTTAACTTGGCGATATCAAATTGTTTTATTTAATTGTTGATATCAAATCTTTTTTACGAATAATACTTTTACGAATAAAATTTTGAGGAATTTAATCTGACACCAATTTTGTTGATATAAAATCTTTTATATAAATGATACATATTATCAGAGTTAAATAAAAACAAGACAGTACTATTTGTATTTTACTTGTTAATTTGATATCTAGAATTTAACTTGATTGGTTAAGATTGTAGCATCTGAGTTTTAATTTTTCATTTGATACATTAATTTTTATCGAAGAGTAATAATTTTTAATAGAGAATAAGAACATCCTTGAAGAAAAATTAAAACTATTATTAATTGGGTTGGATATTTAGTATTATATACAAAGTACCGGTTTCATCAACTCGATTAAGCCGAATCGATGATTAACTGTCAATTATAATTGATCAATTCTATTAAACAGCAAACACGATTAGTCATTATTTTTTTTCGAAGAGTAATAATTTTTGATAGAGAATTAAAATTGATATTACTTGGATTGAAATAAAAAGACCTTTAATAAGAATATCCTTGAAGAAAAATTAAAACTACTATATTAATTGGGTTGAATACTTAGGTTCTCGAGAAACACATATGCTTAGCGCCTTTTTTTGCCTTTTTTAAAAAGTAAGTTTATATATGTTGCTTATTATATATTTTTGACATACATATATATATACTGATTATAATTAGAAGAAGTTTATTATTTTTTATGTCGTCGCTTTTAATTATATATACGCGATAGCTTTGGTATTCGTTTGAGGCTCCTGAGTAATCATCACAGCCATATTGATCGTGACATCAGAAGCGAAAAATGTAGATTTCTCGCTTCTGATTACGTGCCATTTATAAATAAAGACAATTTGGATAACACAAAGTGATGAGATTACTTTAAAATATTTGTAAAAATGGACGAAAACTATGCTTGTCCTCTCTGACAGTCAATAAATAATCCTAAAATGTGATAAAAGGTACATGAAGCGCTTTTATTCAATGCACATGTGTAGTTTATTTTCACTTACACGTGCTTCTTATCACTTTTTACAATTAATTATTGACTGTCAGGGGAGATAAGCATAGTTTTTGTCCATTTTTACAAATGTTTTAAAGCAATATCATCATTTTGTTAAATCCAAATTGTCTTTATTTATAAATGGTACGTAATAAAAATTAATGTGTCATTTCTCGCTTCTAACGTCATAATTCATTATGGCTGGTGACTATTCAGGAGTCTTAAATAAAATATAATAAAATTATATTTGATTTAAGATTCCTGAGTAGTCACCACAGCCATATTGAATTATGACGTTAGAAACAAGAAGTGACACGTTAATTTTTATTACATACCATTTATAAATAAATAAAGACAATTTGAATATGATAAATATTCATATAAATATATATAAATATTCATATAAATATTCATATAAATATATATAAATAACATATGTAAATAATATGACAAAATGATGAGGTACTATTTCTAAACAAAAACAAATAATCATGTATTTTTTTTACAATAGCACTTTTAGGGAATGCAATACTTTTTTGAAGAAAAGCGATTCTTTCTTTCGAAATATATATCATTGATACTATAATAAAAGTTGATCTTATTCACTAGCGATCATTGTTTTAATTTTATATATTTTTTTTATTTGTCATCTTGATATTTGTTTTATTATCTTTTTGACTAGCGATTTTTGCTTAATTAATTAATTTTTTGTATTTCTTTATTATCTTGATGTACTGATGATGGCCAAATCTTGATCGAAACTATGCTTTTATATGATAAATTTAAATATATGACTTTCGTTTTAACATCTATCGTTGTGACTGTATGCTCCCTATTATTTATATTTTGTATTTTTGAGCCACCTTCAAACATTTAAAAGTTGAATAGTTTGAAAAATACTTTAGTTTTTATTATGATTTCCTAGCTTAGTTAATAAATACCAGCGTATAATTTCGTTTTCATCTGATTTCCTTTTGTTAAATATTAAGTTATAAACAAATGGAGATCCAGATCGAATAAATCTCTTTTTCATTATCATTTCCTAGTTTTTAGCAATTATTAGCGTGTTTTATTATTACTTTATCGATCTTGTTGTTTTGAAAAAAACCGAGTCACTATCATAATACAGACTCACGTTATGCTTAGCGCCGAGACACTATCCTGTCTCCAGATCGCAACGCTCGCTGATCATATGTATCATTAGCGCTCTTTGCGTAAAAAATGTCAGGAGGACACGAAAGGAATGTGTGGAATGCGGTCGACGATAATGACGACGACATATCTTAATCTGAAAAGTGACAATTCGGAACTTTGCGTAATATCTCCGCTTGTAGGGCACATACAGAAAAAATAAAACCACGTATAATACGATCGGATACGGAGTGTAAGCTATCGATTAAGTGTACTTAAAGACTCGATCAGGACAGCCGTTATTGAGAACCGATAATCGATCTGACGCAACTCGTCGGTTCGCGTAAAGGAAGCATGCTTAGTGCCAAGAAACTATCAGTGTCTCCAGAATACCTTTGAAATTGTAGAATACTTTTATTCTTACATACCGTTATTCTTTGCAGGAATGTTAGATCCATGAATTGTTAAACAAAACTAAACGCTGCTACAAAACATTTTCTATCCGGAAACTGATCGCTTACTTGAAAAATACAGGCAATAGGAATAGAGAATAAGAAATTTCAATCTATCAGAAACTGTGTACTTTGTATAAAATGCATGTTTTCATATAAGTATTAAATTTGTTATTGCCTAATTACAAATAAATGCCGAGCGCAACTGTTATATAATGCGAATATAATAATAATATATAAACTTTATAAATATACATAATATATACATAATATAACGATTAGCTACCTTCGATATAACATCTGTTGTATAAATGTGTTACATTAAAATTATATTGCCGTTACTTTACTGTAACAAATACATATCAAAATAATGCAACAGTTATATAATAATTATTTCGTAACTATATAAGAATATGTTACATTAATATTACAACAATATGACATTCTGTTATATTACGTGTTATTTCGAGATTATGTCGTAGCTATACTTCGCGTTTACTGAGTAAAGATGAGTGTCAAGTTGCTTATATCAGTCACTATGATTATGAGGTCAATAAATATACAGGGTATCTCTTAAGATGGATCGGGGCCACATTGGGGGTGGAGAATGAATCAAAGGGAACAAAAAATTCTTATACCATTTTGAAATACTCGCTGTAGTTTTTGAATTAAAAAAAAAAATGTCTAAGCTAATATAAGCCGCGCCGCGCGAATTCGTAGGACGGCCCACACTCGAGCGGCAGCAGCAGCGGCGCGCAAAGAGAGGGAAAAAGCGCTTCGTCGCCGCTCGAGTGTGGGCCATCCTACGAATTCGCGCGGCGCGGCTTATATTAGCTTAGACATTTTTTTTTTTAATTCAAAAACTACAGCGAGTATCTCAAAATGATATAAGAATTTTTTGTTTCCTTTGATCCATTCTCCGTCCCCAATGTGGCCCCGACCCATCTTAAGAGACACTCTGTATATGAGTAGTATATGAGCAGCCATGAGTCAAAATAAATTTCCTTCATGTCTTCCTCCGGCGCCGTAGGCATGGCTTAGATGGGTCTGAAAAAAAGGCGCATTCTGATTGGTAGAAGGGTGAGTAATATGGTAATTAAATGATGTATTCTGATTGATTCGTCCTATACTTGACAAAGATTTGATTGGTTCGCATCGTATTACCCACGAGATGATTGGAGAAGGAGGTAGTAGAGAATTTCTGACAAAATGGAGGGTAAAATCAGAAAAAATGGTGAATAGAAATTGGGACTGTAACATTTTTTGTCGTGATGGCAAAGTACATCGGGCATGAATAGCGGAATTTTATGACGGTTTTATCATTCTTTTGTTGGCGTGACACAATGTCTCCGACGTGTTGGCGTTTTAGTGAATGTTTTTTATTTATGAGAGATGAGATTTGAGAGTCTAGGAGAGTCTTACTTTTGCTAGGAAAAAATGGGAGGTAAAACAGGAACAAACATGTTCAACTGACGCGACGCGTTGTCTCCGGTGTGATGACTCGATTCGAGTGAGAATATGATTTTTATGATGTATAACAAAGATTTTAACAATATTGTATTTCTTGTGCTTTACTTAAAAGTCTATGTTATACCTATAATATGTAAATATGTAGAAAAAGAAATTGGTTATTGCAGGGTATGAATGATTAAGAAACGAGGTTTATGTTATACAAAAATGTATTTATTGAAACAAATTCTTTTTTCAAAGAAGAAGAAATACGTAGCATGAGAATAAACTAAAAAAGTTTTTAGAAAAATTAAACGAAAGATTCTCACTTCGAGAGAATTATATGAAAAACTTTGTTATATTTTAATGAAGTTAATTCCAAAATTATTATATTGAAATACATATCAAGAAAAATTAAGCCGTTAATTTGTGTACGTACATTACGCTGCATATCTTCGTAATTATCTTGCAACATTAATTTTATAATTTCCTGATTGATAAAATTGTAGATAGTTTCAATTCGATTTCTTGAATTAAATATAGCGCACACTTGTTAACATTATCAGATAAAGATTTTAATTGTTTTAAACGTGCATCGATGCATTTTACAATGCTTTACTTTTGTTCGAGGAAGGTAGTTTTCTGCATTACAATTGCCACTGCGTAGGTTATTTGTTTCTTCGTGGAGTTGAATCGTGCGCGTCCTCTCCTTTTTGAAGATTTCCATTAAAATTTTTCTCGTCTTCTTTATACGCTAGTAATATTGATTTTGTCCCGTAAGATGTGGTAAAGTGATGGTGATATTTTTTATGACAACAAAGTTAGTTTTACTCTGTTATCGCTGCTTAAATACTCGTTCATGAATGATGTGATCTTGAAACTGTTACCAGCAGTCGATGTCGAAATAAGTCCGCATTGTGTCCGCTCAATTTTACAAGAGGTATGAAGATTCCTTCGTTTGTTCCTTGCAATCCTACATGAATCGTCTATGTATAAGAATTGTTAAGACCATACGTTATTGTTAACAGTATATGAAATCGACTTTCTTCTCTCGTCGTTACGTATCTTGAAAGAATCGAGGATAGAATACATTCTTATGTCCGAATTATTAGTATTTTTTGGACTAGTCATTGTTCTCACACCACAGTAATACCAAATTCAGATGATTGATGGCAATCAAAAACATAAGAAGCACATACTTGCTTGTTAACGAAGCTGCGGAAGACGAGACTCGAATGAAACGGATTTTCGATAGTATCGTCGACATCGCTTCCCTGTTCGACGCTACGTAATAAAATTATTACGCGCACAGATGAAAAAATGAAAAAACTTTCTCTTAATTTTTCTTAAAAATTTAAAATAATCTATACACCACAGAAGTCAGGAAGGAAGAGAAATGAGATAAAACGAGAACGAAAAGGAATGTTTTATGATTCCTCTTCTGCTTTTTTTTATAAAATGACAGTGGAATGAATTTGACCAGCTGAAAAGAGAAAATTTTTTCGCAATAAACCATAAGGAAAAAGAATTGCTTTAGCTTGGGAGTAGTTTCTACTAAATAAGAAATAGTACAAGAAGAAATTTATGAAGCGTCTTCGATTTAAAATAAATTTACGATTGGGTTTATTACTTTTTTTTTAGAAAATTCATCAATGTCTTCCTCATGACGAAGCAAATCCTGAAAAAGGGAAAACTAACAAAAACGAAATGATATTGTTGATTAAGCGAGATATAGGAATTTCCATTAAAATTGTATTTTTTTTTTGTTGAAAGATTTATTGTTTATCAGTCGTAGACTAATATTGCGTGAGAATCCTTTCAAGTAAGAAGATACAAAAAAAAACAGAAGAAAAATTTAAAACGTGAGATTCACCGTAATAATGAAAATTTTATAGTATGACAAAAACATTTCTGATAATAATGAAAACGAGAACTAAAGGTTTTATTAGGATAAATAAGAAGATTTTTCGAGATAATTTTTATGAGAGAGAAACGGAGTTAGATCAGATATGAAGTTGGTCATAATTAGAAAATTTTTGTCATCTTCTACTTCTCTAAAATTTTACGAGAAAATCACTTCTAATAAAGAATGCGGCCAATTACCAAAATTGTTAAAATATATCAGCCAATGAAGGGAAAAAGAGAAGAAATTTTTACTGATTCTTTTTGGAGAGGAATTTTATGAATATCGCTACAAGTATAAATAGCACGCATTGATTAAGCTAAAATTTAGTCCTGCGTTCAGACTCTGAAGTGGATTAATTTTATGTTGACTATTGACGAGTCGTTTTTAATTTCATATTTAAAAAATGAAACTTCGCAAGTTACTCACCAAATTTTTTGTCGTTGCTAACAACTTGAATAAAAATTTAGTTGTTGGCAATGTTGTCAGATAATGATGAAAAAAATTATTCAATTTTCGGAAATGTCATGGGTGAATGCTTTACATTAGTGTGTATTATACACAAACTGGGACATTGCTGTGATGATGAGAGACTGAAAAATATAATCGCTCGTCATCTATAAATACGCGAGTGTTTTGGTCATAAGGAGGACCCGGGAGGTCACATAACTGACTTTAAGTGAAACTGGACTAAGAGGTAAGCAGTAATAATTTCTAAAATAAAATCGAATATATATTAGCACATTAAAAGTTTATTTTATAATTAAATTATAATATTTATTACATAGAATCGGATTGTATTATAGAACATGTGATACTGTATCGCAGGTGGCGTCCAGTAGTAAGACGACTTAGTTTAAAGTGACATCATCTCGTGAAAGAAGAAGGGGAAGAAGTATCAGTAAGTTTTAGGGGAAATAAATATTAATTAAACGTTTATAGAAATCTTGATTATTAAAATATTTCATTTTTTTTCTAGGAAGAGCACGAATTGAACAGGAGGAAAATAATGTTTCGTCTCCGCGTGACGTTCCTGTCATTGTAATTGGTAAGTATTTTATAAATAACCGAGAAATCTAGTTCATATAATATAGATGTAACGTGATAAAATCAATTTTATTATTGACAACGATTATTGAAACGGTGATTTGAGACCATTTGATTTGATTCAAGCACTGGTCTTTCCATAACGTGTAAATTCTTAAAAAAAAAAAATCTAGTCAATATAGACAATTAGTTATATACAGAGTTCAAAAATATTAATAATAACAAAAATTATTTTTTAGCGTAGGAAATCGAAGAAGAGCAGGAGGGACTAACGCAGGAAGAAGAAGTGGAGTCAGGAGAAAAAGAGGAGGAGGAGGAGGACAATGAAAACATTGACAATGACAATGTCGATGATGGTGTCAATGATGATGATAATGATAATAATGCCAATGATAATGTTGCTGATAATGAGGAGGAGGACAACGCAAATGTTGGATAACGTTGATGACAATAACGATAATGAAGAGGAGGAGGAAATACGTGACGAGGAAGAAGTAACTCAGGAAGCAATAGAGGAAGAAGAAAAAAATAGATATTACGCACCTCTTGAAAGTGAAGGTAATAATATTTTTACTTTTTACTTTAAATTTGTTTGTTGGGATACTTAAGCAGAAGTTATTTTTATTATTATACATACGAGGGCAAATCAATAAGTACCCGTTAGTAATGAAGACGCAAGCTTTTTACAAAAATTTTTTTTATTTTTCAACGTAATCCCTTTTTAGGAGGATACACTTTTCTCAACACTTCTGCCATTTTTTTAACCCCTCAGAAAAATATGATTTGTCGAATTCTGCAAAATAGGCCTCTGTTTCGGCGATGATCTCCTCATTCGACGTAAATTTCTTTCCACCGAGCTATTTTTTCAAGTTTGGAAACAAGAAGTCACAGGGAGCTAAATCCGAAGAATACGGATGCGGCAGCAATTCGTAGCGCAATTCGATCAATTTGGTTCTGGCGACTGCGGAGGAGTGAGCATTGTCCTGATGGAACAACACTTTTTTTTTCGCCAAATGGGGACGTTTTTTCTTCAATTCAACATCGAATCGGCCCAATAAGTCAACATGCAGTATTGCCCCCATGATAGTTTTTCCTTTCCTTATGTAATCGATGAAGATTACGCCTTGCGCATTCCAAAAAACATCACTTTTCCGGTCAATGGGATCGTCTTAACCTTCTTCGGAACACGTTCGCCGGGTAAGGTCCACTGTTTTGACTATTGCTTGGTCTCCGGTGTGTAGCAATGAATCCATGTTTCATCAACGGTTATGACTCGACGCAAAAACTCGTTCGAATTGCGCTTGAACAGCTCCAAATATTGCTTTGAAATTGATAACCGCATCCGCTTGTTGTCCACCGTGAGCAATCGCGGCTTTTTCATTCAAGTTATCATACAATATTGAATGCCGTTCCGTATGACACGCCTACGGTCTCTGCTACTTCATGCACTTTCGTTCGACGATCAGCGAGAATCATATCGTGAACTTTTTCAACAATTTCCTCAGTAACCACGTCTGCCAGGCGCCTGGGCGCTCCTCATCAAAAACAGACGAACGACCACGTTTGAATTCGTTGAACCAATATCTGACGGTTGTTATAGATGGTGAAGAGTTCCCATAGATGGCATCCAACTTCGTTTTTATTTCTTCGCACGTTTTTTCATCCAAAAATAAGAAATGAATCACGGATCGATATTGCTCTTTTTCCATTGTATCGAAAAACATCAAACACGCTCACTATGAATTGCTGTCAAATCAAGACTATTGCATGAATCACTCTGAAATTTTGTATGGCGTCGTTTAAAAGATGATAGTACACGATGGTAATGCCAACTTGCATCAGCAACGTCGTCTGTCTTGAAACACGGGTACTTATTGATTTGTCCTCGTATATAAAGATAATCACTCACACAAAGCACTACAGTGGTTAGTGTGGATGGGGCATGAGCTCGGACATTCTATAATCCATGCAGGTTGAGGCCAAATATCGAACTACCGATACGCCCGTCGACGGATATTATGAAATTGAATCGGTGAACGAGACGTTACGTTATGTGTTACAATTTCACGGTTATTTTTGGCATGGTTGTCCCAACTGTTACCAAATCAATTGTGAAAGGAAACTTCCGTCCGAGGCATCATGCGAAGATACAATTGACGCCCGATACGAACGAACCTTCGGAATGACATGGCATCTTCGATAATGTAGATATAGGTGATATAGGGTGATATAGGGAGGAAGTGTGAATTCGCACGAGAAAAGCGCGAGAATCGCGAGATGCACAATTTCCTTGAAAACTATCCGATACTAATCAACCCTCCTCTTGATCCTCACGAGGCATTCTTTGGTGATCGCACGGAAAATATCGCAACCCGATACGAAGTTACGGGTACGAAGAAAATACGTTATATGGACGTATGTTCTCTGTATCCGTACGTATTGAAAACGGCTACTTTTCCATTAGGCCAACTTACGATTTACATGTATATCAGAGAACAGTGTTCGGAGCTAATTGGTGTAGCTCCGAATTTTGATTTCGATTTAATGTCAAGAGTATCATTCGGTGCATAGTATTTCCTCTGCGCGATCTTTTTCAGCCTGTACTCCCGTACTACATACAAGGCAAATTGTTGTTCGGACTGTGTCGTAGTTGCTGCGAAACGTTCTCGCAGGCCGAGTACACTTACGCTCTCGATTGTGAATTCATGGGTGCAAGTATCCTGCGAATTGCGCAAAGCCCTTGAAAAAGGTTATCTCATGACGAGTGTGAGCAAAATATGGCAATTTAAAGTCACATGGTTCGATACTTCTTTGTACGATAAGATGGTTTATTTGATGATACATCAACAGTTTTTTAAAATTAAAGCAGGAAGTGGATGTCCGAGCGAATGCCTAAATGACGAGAGAAAGGAACGATACCTTCGGGAATATGAAGAAACTGTATCGTTCTCGATAGAAATAATATCATCCGAAATCCTGGTTTTCGGTCGCGAAGCTCTGCTTGAATTCTTTCTGGGGGGATAAATTTGACCAAATTCCACAGACCAATTTCCACAGAGAACCAATTTGCCTAATACAGAGATCATCAAAAAATATGAACGTTTGGCAATGTTGCTCAAGAATTCAGAGCACAAAATAACCAATATATTGTCTGTCAACGACGAGATAACATATGTTTTGTGGCGACTACGCAAAAAGACGGTTGCGCCTTCTTCGCAAACCAACTCTGTAATCGCGGCATAGACGATGTCACAAGCGCGAATGATATTAAATGAATATATAGAGAAATTAGGTAGTCGCGTTTTATTGCGATACAGACTCGTGTATTTACGTAAGCAGAGGCGAACCGAACGAGTACGAGTCGCGTACGGGAAATTTGACGGACAAACTCAAAAATTACGGACGGAACAGTTTTATCAAGTCATTTGTGTCCGGAAGCCCGAAATTCTACATCGTTTGTACACCGGAAGGTCGTCGGCATGAGATTTGTAAAGTTAAAAGAATAACATTAAATTATAAGAACTCTCAAATTATAAATTTTAATAGTATTAGAAAATTAATAATGGATAATGAGAAAGGCAAGATGAAAAAGAAGAAGAAGAAGAAGAAGAAGAAATGGCAACGATAAATTTGTATTTTAGCACAATCCGTTTCGCACCGCGTTTCACAAAATCGTAATGCGAAACGAAACAAAGACGTGCGAACCGGTATTGGTAAAACGCAAATTTATTAATAATCGTTATTCCCTTTCGTATGGTTTCAGAAGAGAATAACGACTTCTTCTTTTTCTCGGCTTTCTCTCACTTATTTTAAGTTCGCGAGTTTTCCACCTATTTGCATAGTATTTAAGTATTATGAAAAAAAAATTTGAATTTAAAGTTTTTTGTAAATAATAAAATATAAATATCTTTTGCAAAAAAAAATTTTTATTCGAATTGTATTAAATGATTTAAGGGGATATTCTACTTTGTAAGGATAAAAATTACATGTTATTTAGGAATTTTTTTAAAAGAAATGAATTAATATATTAATATGAAACTTTTTGGAATTTTATTTGTATAAAATAGGTACTTAAAAATTATTTTTTTGTGTCCATATGTATCATACAAAAAAATACGCAAGATGTAAATAACATGTAATTTTTATCCTTACAAAGTAGAATATCCCCTTAAATCATTTAATACAATTCTAATAAAAATTTTTTTTTGCAAAAAGTATGAAAAATTTTTTTTTGACATCATTCCGTTAGTTCAGTAGCCTGAAATAAAAAAACCAAAGAAATTATTAAATTGTAAGAGTTACACTATTACTGGAACTAAAATATAAGAAATAAATTGAAAATTGTTGAAATGATAATGTTTTGTAAAATGGTATTGATTCTCGCCTATAAATGTGTTTCGTTTTTTTTTATAATAAAATGGAATAATCGTAAATTAAATTTCGTAGTTCCAGTAATAAAAGAACAGGTATTAAATGGACATGCAAAAATTCAAGTCGATCAGACGCTTAGTTTCCGTGATATTATGTTAACGCGATTGAAAAATACTGTATTCGATGTCGATTTCATTATTAATCGATCATTTTAGTAAAGAATGAATAACTCAGTTATTGTATATTATTTCTGTGAACAGCTTTAGTAATATATTTTCAAGACTATCAATTTTCCAAAAATGCGATAAAAAAAATCGATTTTTTTGATCCGACATAGTAGAATATCCTCTTAATGTAAACATGTAAAAATATAAAAATGTAAATATTTAATTGTAATATAAAAATGTAAATATTATTTCTGAATAATTGAATTTTTTATATAAGAATTAGCAAAAATATAATCAACTATAAAAAAATTAAAATTGTACAGGGTATCTCTTAGACCATCCGTCCACATTTTTTATCTCCATAGGATAAGATCCAATCAAAAATATGTTCAAACCAAAGTTGTGGGATTAGATCTATTTATTGATCATATCAGTTTGACCTTGGGTGGCTTTGCCAAGGTCAGATCAAGGTCACAACGATTTTTTGAAATAAAACATCCTACTTTTTATCCTAGAATCTAATAGCCGATTTTAAATGCTTTCCAAAATCCTATAATAAAGTATTTTTTGATTAAATAAATTTCGAGTTATGAAGATTAAAAGTTACAGTACTGCCGGCATTAGCATAACCCAAGGTGTACCGAGTGGAGGTTGCCCTCGACCTGACCTAATCTTGGTCCGGTAACCTTACTCTGACCTTGACTAAGCCACCCAAGGTCAAACTGATATGATCAATACATAGATCTTTTTAAACCTCACAACTTTGGTTTGAACATATTTTTGATTGGATCTTATCCTGTGGAGATAAAAAGGATGGACAGGTGGTCTGAGACCCTGTATTATTTTTCTTTCCTCTCTTCCTCTTTTTTTAAAAAAAGTAAGTATATATAATTTAATAAAAGAATAAAAAATATTTTGAAGAAAACAAGAAAAGGTGATTTTTTAATATAATTCTTTATTATATTGTATATTATATATTATATATAATATATTATATAATTTATTATATAATTCTAACTAATCTTTCCGATTTCTGCAAAATTTCTTTTCCCTCACTGTGGTATCGCAATAGTCGCATCAGTAAGTTTATCGGCGGCGGTGCCACGCGTTCGCTTAACGATAGAAATATACATTGATCGAGCTTTTTTTGACGCGCGAAAATAAACTTATGTGCGTCATACCGCGGTGAGATCAGCTTTTCGCTAGCCGTGGTACTCTTCGCTGACAAGCTCACGCTACGTTGACGCGAGCGCTCGTGCGCCGCGTGGAGGGGCCCTACCGTCGCGTTGGTCAGCTTATCCCTTCTAAAATTATTTCCTTTCGCGTATCCTAAAAATTAAGTGACGTTTTTTCTTTTTGCTTTTGAAGTCGCGCACGAAGATCGATCATTCATTTCATAAAATGAACATGCGCTGGAAACATTCCTAGTCGATCATCTGCGGACCGGCCGGTTGCGGAAAGACGATCTTTGTGAAGGCTTTTCTCTGGCATTTATCTCTCATGTCCGATGTGTGTTTCGAGATAATTTTGTTTTATTATGCGGAATGGCAAGAAGCCTATCGTCAATTACAATACGACACATGTGTAAAAGAACTTGAAGAACAGTGTTGGAAATGCAGCAATATTAAAACGAAGAAGAACATAATTGAATTTCGAGAGATTATCCCGTCCGGAAGATTATTCGAACGATCCACTTTCCCTGAAATTAGTGATAAGATCTACGATCTTATGAGAAAATCGTCGTCATGCGATGCGATCGTGGATCTTTTTATCAAAGGCAGTCATTACAAGAATCTTATTCTTATCTCGCAAAACCTCTTCCATCAGGAACGTGGTCAGTATGATATATCACTTAACGCGAATTATATCGTCGTTTTCAAAAATCGACGTTGCATTCAAATTCATCATTTAGCGCGTGAAGTCTATCCCGACGATCCAAAATTCTTAGAAGAAGCAAACTATGACGCCACATCGAGGCCTTACGGATGTTTGTTGCTCGATCTGATACAATCAACCTCGGACGAGTATCGATTTCGAGCGTGTATTTTTTGAGGATACAATCCATTACGTATACGTCCCGGGTAGATCATTTTCCAATGGATTCGTATAAAAGTTGAGTACGGATAATTGCACATGTCAGTCGTAGATTTTTCTTGCGATGAAGGTGGGTGACAAGAAATCGCACAGAGAGACGTAAATCATCACACATTCGAGAAACGCCTGTCTCCTCACAGCGCTTTATCATTTAAACAAAAATCAACACACAACCTTTTTACGTAACGCTGACGAAAAACTAGTTCGTTGTATGTTTTTAATACACTCAAAGGTAACGTCTCGCTCGAACGGTGTAAAAAAAGTTGGTTAACCAAATACAAAAAGGCTCTGCGTCGCGTCGTTGCAAAAGTAGTAAGTAGTAGTAATTGGAAGGATAAAAGAAAACTATTGGTGCAGCGAGGTGGATTTTTACCTTATATTATCGGATATATATTATTGACTTTATTATCACTAATTATCGAAGGAACGAAATAGAAGGGATAAAATACTATGGAAAGGGCTAAAAAAATGGTTTTAATTTTGATGGAAAAAATCTAGAGAGAATGCATCATCAGCTACGTCAGAATCCGACATCATTCGTTGACATAGAATCAAAAGAAATCGCAGTACCGGAAAATTCGGATAACACCGCGAGCACTAATAATATTAGGTGTAGTAAAAAGAAATCCATTATTTTTCCAATAGATGGCTTTAGTAATTTGTATCTTGTCTACGCGTGATACAGATTACTAAAGCCATCTATTGAAAAAATAATGGATTTCTTTTTACTACACCTAATACAACGCAAACCACCGGAACTCATCTAATACGACTCGATGCGGAGATGAGTCGTATTCTTAATTCCGTCTGGCTGCGTGACGAAAGTGAGAGGTGGAACATGTACCGAGAGGCATTATGGCGATACCTGCGATTTATCCAAGAAACGCGAAGGCAGAAAGACGTACGTAACGAAAACAAAAATGCAGAAGACAATGCTGACACGAGATGCCTCCGATGATAACGAACGATGGCGTTTTTCACGCTCTTACGCAAACATCCGATATACTATCATTACCACATTTCATGAGTAACACCAATATTATTACGAAAAATTTCGAAATTTCGAGCGAGCATAATCATATGATGAAAAGTATTGAAGAAATAATGGAAAGCGTATCGAAAGCATTCACACTTTGAAACATTTATTTTGAAAAGCTGTGCCTGATAGAATTAGTTCGGATGAACATGAAATTGTGATTATAGATGGTAACGTGAAAGATTCGAATATCACTTAATAAATGATGCGATGCACGAGAGAAAAACTGTGAAAGCAGTGGGTAGAAATCAGTTTGCACGATTATTCGTAAGTTAAATATACCTTCTGCACTGGTAAGAAATAAAAGATTATTGTCCACGCACGGTGTTATTGTAAAACTTCGATCTCGTGCGAGTTTCGCGTCGATTATATCGAGAGCACGAAAGAGAAAAACGTAAAAATTACGAACAAGAATTAGACGAGGAAAATTCGTTGATTTTTTTCTTGTACACAAAAAACTGTTATATTTTTAAAAAAGGAAAAAAATCGGTTATTCGGTTGAAAAAACTAAGATAATTGATGTTTGAAAAACTACACTATGATCCGTCGCATTATGCGGACTATTTGGCGGTGGATAATCTAACTCGTGCAGTTAAACCGAATTTCTCATGGGCAGAAGTCATACACTGGTTCGCAAAATCGCGTACACATTGCACTGGCCATTGCACAGAAAATTTTCGCATTTCGATTGCATTACAGCATAACAAACATTGATGATGTGTGGGAGGCAGATTTGATCGAACTTCGAAATCTAAAAAGTTACAATGACGGCTATTCTTATCTGTTAGTAATTATCGATGTACTAAGTAAAAGTACGTCTGGGTAGAAATTATGTTTTACCATTATGTGACAAAAAACGAGTAATAGCGTAATAAAAACTTTTCAATGTGTACTTATG